TACACACACACACATATATAGTATGTATTATGTTAGTAACAGAATTTATAATACTCTTACAAAGTCTTTCAGTTTTGTATTTAATGAAAGTAATAATGATAGATGCTATCATACCTCAGCACTTACTACTAGGACAGCACGATCTCAGTGCTGTGGATGTGGCTCAGCTGGTAGAGGGCTTGCCCAGCAGACACCAAGGCAGTACCACATAAATCCCCATTGTAGCAATCCATGCCTATAATTTCTATACTCTAGAGGTGGAGGCGTAAGATCAGATATCCAAGGACAGCAAGGGCTACACAGAGAGACACCTTCTCAAGAAGAAAATAAAAAAGGCCGGGCAATGGCGACACACACCTTTAATCCCAGCACTTGGAAGGCAGAGGCAGGCAGATCTCTGAGTCTGAGGCCAGCCTGGTCTACAGAGTGTGTTCTAGGATAGCTAGGGCTACACAGAGAAACACTTTCTCAAGAAACAACAACACCCCCCCCAATAAAAAAATTAAATACATAAAGGGGTGTGGATACCGGTCAAATGGTGGAGTGCTTGCTTAGCACACATGAAACCCTGGATATGATTCCTAGCACTGCTCCAGCCAGGGGTGGTACGCTGTAATACCACTTGGGAGGATCAGGACTTCAAGGTTACTCTTGAATGCGGACAGAGTTCAAAGCCAGCCTAGACTACATGAGACCCTGCTTCAAAACAAATACATTAAACAAAGATGCCACTTTGACTCTCACTTAAAAATACATCACTGAAATAAGAAAATTCTCTGAGAATTATGTGGCAAAAAAACAAAAAAAAAACAAAAAAACAAAAAACAAAAACAACCTACTCAGCTCCTCCTCAGGGAGATGTTTACCCTTCAGTGAGAGCCTGGTGCTTCCTGAGCTCAGGCTCAACCACTCTACCTCAGACACAGCCAACAGCTAAAGAATCCACCAAGCTGACCTGCAGCTTAATCCCAAGAAAGACGACATTTTTAAAGTTTTAAATAACACAGAAGTATAAAGTTTATTCTTAAGGAAAAAAGCTGAATTCACATTTGTTTAGCTGTTTCATGGCTCATTCTGGAAGCACTTTGTTCCACCTTTAAAGCCAGCCAAGCTAGACAGATAGTAAGGGACAACAGTTCTCAACCTGTGGGTCGAGACCCCTTGGGGGGGGGGGGAATCAAACGACCTTTCCACATGGGTCAAATAGAGATTGTGCATATCAGATATTTATCTTATGACTCATAAAAGTAGCAAAATCACAGTAATGAAGTAGCAAAAAAAATTTATGGCAGAGGGTCACCACATAAGGTGTACTAAAGAGTGTTAACAAGCTCGAGAAGCACTGGGAGGGGGAGACTAGTAAGTGAAACCAGAAGTTAGACCATTACCTGTTTCACTTGCAGCCCATGGCTCCAGATCCTTTCCAGAAGGTCACAGAGGCTGGCAATCAAGGTGTTCTCTTCCACACCAGTGATGTTCACCTCTCCGTGCCCCAGCTCCACAGCCTCTCGGCCCATCTTCTCCACCAGCATCCTCTTGGTCTAAGAATGGGAAAGCAGGATAGAGCCCTACAGCGAGTAGAACCACACACGGTTGCAGAGGGTTGTGGCAGCCTGCAAGGCACATGTGCTGGGCTGGGAAGGACAAGATGAAGAAGCCCCAGGGACAGTGTACTTACTGACATATAGGTCAGGTATGGGGAGTGCAAGCTTTCAAAGTCCAGGAAAGAGGAGGTAAAAAACACAGCTACCAGCATGTAACCCTAGCAAGGGAGTTCATCACTCTGGAGTCAAGCCTTTGCCTTTATGAGATGAAAAGAGTTGAATAAAATCCTTTATTTATGCCTACATCTGATATTCTCCCATTCTCAATGCTTGAATAAATGTGCTGAACAAACCTTCAAGCACACGTATAACCTAGAAATAAATCTGAAATAACCCTCAAGGAAACAAGAAGTTATTAAGTATAATTTCAGGTCAAACTCTGTAAATGCTTATTGTAAATATGTAACAACATCATCAATGTCAAAGATGATTGAGAAACATGAACCCTTTCAAGAACTGTATCAACAATGTTCTCGAGGGCAGGAAAGGAAACATATGGGAGAATCACAAGTAACTCAGAACCAACTGTCAGTTTAAAACAATTTTGTTTTTAACTTAGGGGCTGGAAAAAAATAGCTCAGGGTTAAGAGCCTATACTGCTCCTGTAAGAGGGCTAAGGCATGGGCTCAGGCTCAGTCCCAGAACCTACACTGGACAGATCACAACAGCCTGTAGCTCAAGCTGCAGGGGAACTGATACCCGATTCTGGCATCTGAGGGAAGCTGCATTCAAGCACACACAATCACGGAGACACACACACACAAAACTAAAAAAAATAAAATCCTGGGCTAAAGAGCTGGCTTAGTGTTGAAGAGTACTGGTTCTTGCAAAGGACCCAGGTTCAATTCCTAGCATCCACATGGAGGCTCACCACTTCTTTAGGCACCATGCGTGCATGTGGTGCACAGATAAATGCAGGCAAAGATAAAAGAAATCTTGTTACAAGGTCAAAATAAGTTCATTCTTGCTTTCTATGAAACTTGGAGTAGACCATATTTTGACCCATTTTCTGAAATTTGACATATTCCCCACCCTATGCCCTAATCTCCACCCTGATATGATGTTCTACCAAATAATTTTTGAAATGTTCTGTCAAATTCCTATGTAACCAAAACCCTTGAAAACCCCACAGTCCTGCAGTTTGGGGGCTAATATAAACACCACCTTCTCCTATGCTTCAATGCTATTTTCTTGAACCCTGCTTTAGGGAGATGATAGCCCTGTGTGACAGAAAAATAAAGCTTGCTTAATTTGGTCCAAAAATCTGGGTAATGATTACTCTTGTTCAGTGGATTTAAAAACCACTGAGCTATCTCTCCAGCCCAACTTTCTTAAAGTAAGAATTTCTTCTAATTTCACTAATAACTATCAGGATGCAGCAGAGAATAAACATCTGAGTTGTCCTAAAAATTATGATACTATAAAAAAAAGGATTTTTTATTATAAATTACATTTATAGACAAGGCAGTGGTGGCACATGCCTTTAATTCTAGCATTCAGGAGGCAGACACAGCAAATCTCTGAGTTTGAGGCCATCCTGATCTACAGAGTGAGTTCCAGGACAGTCAGGGATACACAGAAAAACCCTATCTTAAATTTTTTTTAAATACAAAAAAAGAGAAAGAAATTACATTGTATCAATATAATTTTGTTATATGTATACTTCTGCTCTTAATTAAGGTATTGTGTTTGTACTACTCATTTAAAAATGTAAAATTAAGAAATATAGGTTAATAATTAGTCATTATAATAGTCAAGCTTGTAGTCATGTTAGTTAGGTTTTCTAGATATATAGAGATATATTTCAGTTAGATAATCTTCAAATCTTTCAAAGACTACAAAATATGGCATTTAAAATGTTTTAAGAACTTAGGAAGCTGGGCGGTAGTGGCACATGCCTTTAATCCCAGCACTCGGGAGGCAAGAGACAGGCGGATCTCTGTGATCTACTTCAAGAGGATGATGGGTATTGAAGAGGCTCCTCATAGAGTTTGTTAGCCATTTGGGCAAGAAACTGCTCTTGCCTGAACTGTCTGATTAGACTTGCAGGACCCACAAAAAAACGACTGCTGAAGCTGCCTAAAGAAGGTGAGACAGTCCTTTGGGGTTCCTGCTTCATGAAAGAGTCTGACAGATATCCTGAAGAAAGTGACTGACAAACTGCCAATAGAGGTGGAATTGTCTTCAAAATTTCCTGCTTCATGGAAAAACTTGCCAGATACCATGGGCCTGTAGGCTGAAGATGGGTGCCTCAATGGTACAGAAGAACTTTGGGTGACTATTCAGGCAGTAATATGTCTCTGTCAATTCTAGAGTTTTAGAAGTTGCTTACAATGCACTTCCTGTTTACTTAGGTAATACTGTATCTTTCTGGAGTCTTTCATGGAGTTGAAGAATAGATATAGCTTTCCTTAGTTATGATAAAAAAGTAGATATAAATACTATAACTATAATTCTTGCTTGATACCTGTTTTGTTATATGTAATCTTGCTATGTTAAAGTTAAAACCTTCCTTTTTATTTAGACAGAAAAAGGGAGGTGATGTGGGGCATGATGTATGCTGTGAACATATTTTATTGCCATTGGTTAATAAAGAAGCTGCTTTCGGCCAATGGCTTAACAGAGTAAAGCCAGGCTGAAAGAGATATAGAGAGAGAGTAGGCGGAGTCAGTCAGAGAAGCCATGCAGCCGCTGGAGACAGATGCCTCCGCTGGAGCCCACTGAAACTTTGCTAGTAGGTCACGACCTCATGGTGATGCACAGATTAATGGAGATGGATTAGTTTAGGATGTAAGAGCTAGCTAGCAATATACTTAAGCTATTGGCCAAACAGTATTGCAAATAATAAAGTTTCTGAGTGATTACTTCGGGTCTAAATGGCTGGGAATGAACAAGCATCTTCCCCCAACTATATTACATTTATAACTTAAATATTAAAAATTAATCTTTCTTTTGGTATTGAGAAAAACATCCAAACCACTAAGCTTAAACTGAATAACAAATGTTGAGTTAACATGGAATAAGAATCCCACAAACTATTTTGAGACATGAAAAGTGATTGCTATCAGATCACAATAGAGACACAAAAACATTTCCACATATGCAAAGCAATCTGTAATAATTAATAATTAGTATTATCCCATTATATAAGGAGTGGAGCCAGTCAGATGGTTTGCCAAGCAAACTTGACCATAGGAGTTCGAGCATCAGAAACCACATGAAGTGGGAAGGAGAGAAGTGACTTACAAAGCTGTCCTGACTTTAGTTGGGCAGTAGTGGTGCAAACCTTTAATCCTAGCAATCAAGAGGCAGAGGCAGGCAGTTTTCTGTGAGTTTGAGGCCAGCCTGGACTACAGAGAGAGTTTCAGGGATACACAGAGAAACCCTGTCTCAAAACACACACACACATTTTAACTAAAAAAGGAGTGCTTGGAGCCAAGCAATGATCTCCGTTTTGCTGCCAAGGGAGCAGCAGCACTCAGGTGTCCACAGCTCACCTTGTTGCGGCACTCCTTCAGCAGGCCTTCCACAAACTTCCAGTTGGTCTGGGCGATGACTGACGGAGAGAGGTTGGACAGTTTGGGCTGACGGATGGTGCTGCCCATATTCCTGGCTTCCTGGATGTACTTCTACATCAAACAGAAAAAGCAAAGACCTTTTATGTCCATGTACAGAAACCATTCTTGCACTAAAGGGAAAAACCAAAATAATACAATTTCTGGTTCTGCTGACCAGGTATAATAAATTACCTTTGATTTAAAGTCACAAGAGGGACTTATACAAGTGTTCTTGTGCACAGTGCACACATACATACTAGCAGGCATATTCAACTTTTCGACATTATGAATGATATTGTCCTCAACCAAGTTTGTACCTAAGAATCCTGCAGTGGAGTTACAGATCACAATAAGTAAACAAACTATCCCACAATGTTTTACGTTAGGCTGCATCCCAGGGAGCATGTAGTCAGGACAGGTTGGACATGCCTGCTACTGCATACACAGCTCACCGAACAAATCCAATCAAACCGCCGTGTGACTGTGATAATCATTTCATCCACCATGATGAAAGGAACTGAACTAGTCTCACCATATAAAAAGGATTTATTTGTCTTAATCTTGCTAAATCAGGAACTAAGGAAACAACCATACTTTCTACTCTTCTACAGCATGTTGCTCTTTCTTTGTATGCTGTTTAATACAGAGTCCACAACAATTTCATATACTATATGGGCATTCTTGACATCTCAGGTTTATGACCAGCATTTTATCCTAATATTGCCCTTCCTCCATATTATCCCTAGTACCACAACCCTGTCCATTTTATGTTCTGACCCATTAATCTACCCCTACTGCCAACTGCTATCTGCCTCCTAACTGGCTATCTATCCCCCTCTCTCTCTCTGTTTCTCTCCTCCAAAAGTCTTCCACAGCCTGCTTTATATAACACACAGCTTTAGATCCTGTCCTCTACTTGGAAGTGTTCTTCTTTCTCTGTAACAAAACTATTGAGCCCTAAGGCCTCAACAGACACTGGCTCCTCCTCCAAATAGTTGTTTGTTGATTATCCCTCTAAAAATGATCTTCACATTCTCTCACCAGTGATTGTGAGAGGATCTGCCCTTCACATGGCTCCTTCAAAAGATTTTTCTACTTACGCTGGGCGATGGTGGCGCACGCCTTTAATCCCAGCACTCGGGAGGCAGAGGCAGGCGGATCTCTGTGAGTTCGAGACCAGCCTGGTCTACAGAGCTAGTGCCAGGACAGGCTCCAAAGCCATAGAGAAATCCTGTCTCCAAAAACCAAAAAAAAAGATTTTTCTACTTGATTTACATGTGTACCTGTCTCAACTCCCTAATACACTTACTCTGAGGAAAGGGCCGCCTCCTTGTCATCTTAGTATGTCAGATGCTCACCCCAGTCAGTGATTCTTAGCACTGAGATACAATCAGCCTTTCAAGTTTTCATTTACTTCTCTGAGCATGGGAGAGTCGTGCCCATTACTCATCTGTCACACAGCAGCACAGCCACCAACATCTGAGGCAAGTGGGAGAGCTGTCCCTGCTCCTCACCAGGAGAGCAGGCCCACACCTTGTCTGGGCAGCACAATAGAGCCAGCCCAGAAGTTGTGAGCGTGGGAGAGCTGTCCCTATTACTCGTCTGTCAGGTGGCTGCATGGGTAGGGAGAGATTCTCCTCCCCCAGTTCATCAATGGCTAAGGCCGGTGGGAGAGCTGCCACTGAGGTCCTAAGAGCAGGAGAGCTGTCCCTCCCCTCATCAGCTGCAGCACTTGGTAAAGCAGCCCCTCTGCCATGCCTAGTAGAGCTGGCCCTGAAGGTGTAGGTGTAGATGTGGAAGAACCGACCTTGGGGACATGGAAGCAGGGGAACTAGTGCTGCCCCTTGCTCATCACTGCAAGGAGTGAACTAGCCAGGGCAATGCAGGAAAGCTCACCCTGGAGGGCTGACAAACCCTGCAACTAACTACTCAGGCTCCGAACCAGTGTGTTACAAGTTGGCCCACCCCAACATCCACTCATCTGTGATCTGAAGGAGCATGTGAAAGGACCAGTCCTGCAGACCCAAAGCTGCAGGCTCCAAGATCTCCACAAACAGGGCAAGAACAGAATATCCAAAAAGAGTCTCAGAGAGGGCCCACCATTGATAGTGTAGCAGAAACCAGAGGCCTCGAACCAGATCAATGACTCTGCAATGAGCACTTGCAAAGAGTAAAAATAAGTTTAAAAAAAAAAGTAAAAATGTATGGATAAAAGAGTTTAATGCATGACTCACTATGTCATACTATAGCTTCCATGATAAGAATGGTTTTTCTTTTTTTTCCCCCTCTCTTAAATTTTATTTTATTTTATTTTAGGGGAAAGACTGCAAAGGCAGAGGGCAGATATGAAGGGACAGGAAAATTAATGGAACGGAGATGTATGATATAAAAGAATAAATAAAAAAGAAAGTTTAAAGAAAAGTCAAGAAAACAAGCTATTTTCCAACTTACTGAGGTGCTAGACACACATGAAAATAGTCTTCCTGACTGAATTTTATTGGTTTAAGATGAAAAATCACAATGTCTTTTAAGTTCCTGAAAGGCTTCACAACTAATCTAAAGCACGGTCTTCAGCTAGTTTAAAACTAGAGACTATGCTAAGAAGCAGTAACTCAGCTTGCAACAGAGAGGATTCAGGAAATAAATCCAATAATCTGCAATACCGCTGTGATGGTTTGAATGAAGATGACCCCATAGGCTCCTATATTTGAATGCTTGGTTCCTAATTAGTGGAACTGTTTGAGAGGTGTCAGGACACGGTTTCTCAACCTTCCTAATGCTGTGGCCCTTTAATATAGCTCCTCATGTTGTAGTGACCCCCAACCATAAGATTATTTTTGTTGCTACTTCATAATTGTAACTTTGCTGTTAGAAATCATAATGTAAGCATCTGATATGCAAGATATCTGATGTACAACCCCCCAACCCAAAGAGGTCACGACCCACAGCTTAAGAACCATGGGTTAGGCAGTAGGGCCCTATTGGAGGAAGAATGTGACTGACTGTGGGCTTGAGGTTTCAAAAGCCCAATCCGGGCTCTCTCCCCACCCCCCTTTTCTTCCTCTGAAGATCAGGATGTAAACTCTCAGCTATTGCTCCAGCACCATACCTGCCTACCTACCACCACAGCCCTCACCACGATGGATCAACCCTCTGGAACTGTACACAAGTCCACAACTAAAAGCTTTCTTTGATAAGAGCTGCCTTAGTCGTGACATCTCTTCAAAGCAGAATAATAACTAAGTAAGACACTACCCCTCCCTCTACTTGAAGCATGATTAATAAAAGCTCAGAGAGAGAAACTGGGGTTCAACCTAAAGATCTGAAAAGCAAAGCAACCAGCCACTGGCTCTTACTCAACCTTAGTCTGAAAGTGGCAATCCTGCCTCCAGGAATCTCAGAATGAGACTGTGTGTTGAGAGCTGTTTCCTCCTGTTTTATAATCCTTAAAGGCAAGCACTGCCCAGTTTCTACGGCAGCTAGTGTGGCTACTGGAATTAGAGGAGCATGTCATTGTGGCTACTGGGACTACAGGTGTGTGTTACCATTACCTGGTCTGTAAGGCTGACCAGTGTGACTGTTTTACTCTCAGATCTTCAAGTAGTCTTTAATTATTAAAATACAATTGAAATGCCATTACATCTCCTTATCCACATAGGGGGCAAAAATAAAGACAGGTCCACAACCTCCATTCTTCTCTATTGCTGCAATAAAATATCCTGACAAGAGCAATTTAGGTACAAAGTGTTGATTCGGGCTCACAGATGTACATCACAGTTTATCATACAGGAGGTCCCAGCAGCAGGACCTGAGGGAGCTGATCTCATCATATCCACAATCAGCAGAGAGCAAGGATGCATGCAGGCTGGTCCTAGGTTTGCTCTCTCTACTCTTATACGATTCAGAATCCCCTACCCAGGGAATGGTGTCACCCACAGCAAAAGGATCTTCCCACATCAATTAAGGTAATCAAGATAATCCCCCACAGACATGCTCACAGGCCAACCTAATCTAGACACTGACTCCTCCCCACCCCACCCCCCAATTCTGGACTGTGTCAAGTCAGCAAGAGAACTAAGACACAGGGAAAAGTCCTCCACCTTCAGATTCAGAGTCACAGAACTCACCCCAGTTCACTTTCCTCCATTACATTTTAATAAAATTAGCTCATTTCCTAACATGCAAGAAGTCCTAATTTGAAAGGCATTTCTCTGAAGTTTCAGCCTGCCATCTTCTGAGGTTTGTATTACACTCAGCAGGGAGTTAGCAGAGAGAACAGACAAGGTACACACTTAAGCTCTTCTCTGTGGAGAAAGGCCATTGCTGGTATAGCATACAAAAAGCGAGTGGGCCGTGAGAGCAGGAGGAGTCCTTGCCATTCACAAGGAGTCATACCTCTCTCTGGTCATTGTCCAAGCGCAGGTGTTCTGTGTGCTGCTTTTGCCGGTCTTTCCGCCTCCACTGGGCAGGGGCGTTCCTTTTTGTCCACCTGACAATATCAAAGAGGCCATTAAGAATATCTACTACTCTGAGTTCTAAGCCAACCTGGTCTACACAGTGAGAGACTCTGTCTCAAAACAGAAAAAAAAAAAAAAAAAAAAAGAGAGAGAGAGAGCCACTAAAAAGTAAAGCTACTGACAAAAGAAAAAGAGAATGTCTGAGCAGTTGATGAAGGCACTATGAAGTCCTTAGGGAAGAGCAGCTACAAAGAGGGAGCGCGCTCCAAAGACTAAGAGAGAATTTGTCTTGAAATATCTACCAAACTTCACATGCAGATACAAAGCTGTCTGGGCTACAGATACTCATCTCCAAAAGTAAAGAACCATCCAGCCACGTTATCCACTTTATCTCCAATTTATATGGGGTTCAGGTATGAGGCTGTTTTAACCCACCTGCAGCCTGGCTGCCTCCGAGTCCTGGGAATACAGTTATCTTAAATTTGTACAGTGCAGACAAACACTGACAGACACTCTTGGCTCCTGCATAGTTTGGGTCTTGTCCGAGTAACCACTCTAGCTTAGACTCTGGATGCCACCGGTTACTCCACTTGGTAGTGAGGTTGGAGCATCTCTAGGGTTTACTCACTTGTTGCTGGCTGGCCCAGTGCAAAGGACATCAGACTGCAACTTAGGGAAAAAGCCAGGCTCATATTTTCCTTGTCCAATTTTCATATCAAGAAGATGTGGGTGAACCGCAGTGTGGTCTATTTTTGCCAGACGTAGTTCAATTGCTTTTTCTGAATGAGATTTTAAAAAAAAATTAAGTCAAACTTTTTTTTAAAAGTAACTACTCTTCAATTCTAGCCAAGATAAGAGTGAAAAAAAATTGATTTTTACCTTCTTTCCTGAAATATATACAAGCAGGAAAACAGACATAAAATATGATTTCAAAACACTTGCCATTAGGCAATGAGGGACAAGAGTCCCTAAAATTTAGAAATAAATGGGGTAATTCTTACGAATGCCTCAGCTAACTGCCCTGAGAATTTTCTGTTGGGACACACAGAGGGGAACCTTAGAGTCTGGTTCAGTCCCAAAGGCTGGCGATATGGACAGTGGCAAAGAGTTTGTTCTAGAACATCTCTAGGGATCTCTAGGCTCTGCAAACTGCCTCAAGTGACACTATGACATCTCTTTTTCTGAAAAAACCTTAAAAATGAGGGCTAGTTAGCTCTTCATCCCACAGCTTAAACACTATTCTAATAGACTCGTGAGACTACATATCAGACAAGAGTGACTCAGAACACTGCAGATGCAGCACCCGGACTACAGATGGGCTGAGAACTGACTAGCAGACAAGCAGAGCCTCAAATGAGCAAAGCTTTCACAGCCCTTGGCTGTTTGAATACGGCCATTTTCAAGTATAATACAAGATGAAAAGGACTGGGCATCCTGATTTGTTTTTTTGTTTTGCTTTTGTTTTTGGCTTTTGGTTTGTTGAGACAGGGTTTCTCTGTGTATCTCTGGCTGACCTGGAACTCACTCTGTAGACCGGGCTGACCTCGAACTCACAGAGATCCCCCTGCCTCTGCCTCTTGAATGCTGAAATTAAAGTCACTGCCACCACCAGACAGGAATCCTGACTTTAAAAATGATATTGAAGCCGAGCTGTGGTGGCACGAGCCTTTAATCCCAACAGGGAGGCAGAGGCAGGAAGACCTCTGAGTTCAAGGCCACCTTGGTCAACAGAGTGAGTTTCAGCGCAGTCCAAGGTACTTGGACGGTTGAGAAACCTCTCAAAACAAAACAAAACAACAACAAAAACCCCAGAAACAAAAATGATTTTGAGAGGCAGGTGGATCTCTAGGAATTCAAGGCCAGCCAGGTTTACAGGGCAGTTCGAGGCCAGTCAAGGCTCAGTCCCAAAAACAAACAAACAAAAAGGATTTCCAGGCCAAAAGAAAACAAACAAAACAAAAGGAAGAAAGCAAAGAGTGGTGGCGTACACCACACCTTTAGTCTCTGTGCTGAGAGGCAGAGACAGGCGGAGCTCTGTGAGTTGAGGCCAGCTTTGTCTATACAGTGAATTCTAGGACAGCCAGGACGACAGAAGTCTTGTCTCAAAAGAACTAAAATAAAATAAAATGATAAGGAACACATCACAGTTAATGTGCTAACATACTCAAAGGCAAAAACAGAGAAAGCAGCAGACTTGTTTAGGAGCCGTAGAGGAAAGAGGTCTCACCTGCTTCATCCACAGTGGTACACTTCTGGTACATGGATGTCCGGAGAGTAGGTGTCCGAACATTCAACAGTCTGATCTTGTCAACCCTCGAGTCAAAGACCCGGAGAACAGGGTCTTTATCGTCATCATCGTGACACATGATCTTGTTGTCAATAAAGGATGCAAACATCTGGGTCTCAAGGAATCTTGAGAGGAAGGGCAGGTAGGGCTCGGGCTGATCTGACAGGAAGGATGCCTAGTGCAACCAAAAGGAAGCAATCAGCAGGGACAAGAACATGACAGTCTTGACCAAAAACAGCAATACACCCAAGGGCTGAAGTGGGACAATTCTATGAAGCCTCCTAGGTCGTTATGAAAACTACAACTACAACCCTTCTCCCCTTTGTTAACTCTCATAAAAACCTTTGCCTAGAGAAAGAGTCCTTCCCAGCACTGCAAAGCAGAACAGAAACAAAGGAGGGCGCTGTCTAGAAGTAAATTACTGTAGTGGTCTGCACGCCTGCTTCTCCACTTGACTTTTCTTCTTCCTGCTGTAATTAGCTCTGAATCGCGGCCCCCAGGGTCTCACTCACTTTATCAAAGTTCTGCATCTGCTCCCTGTTGGTGAACCAGGACTCCTTATCCTGGCTAGGCTGGATGACAAACACTTCATAATCAGCAAACATCTGAGTAAAGCGATTAGCAAAAACTTCCCGGATCTGAATGTTTAGCTGATAAATCCTGAGTTCTTCTTCATCACACTGAACTTTGAAATCTTTATTGCTACTGGGGTCTTCACGAACTTCCAGCTAGAAAGAGAGAGAGAAAGAGAGGATGAAAATATGAAATATGAAAATATGAATGATTATACTTTCATGCCAAAGAAATGCAACTCATCTGACTGTTTTCATTTTGGACTCAGCAGCAAATGGTGAGAAGGTTTGAACAAAAGAAAGAAAAATGAGAAGAAATATAAAAGGAAGGAATCTAGAAGTTAGAGATTTACCTTAGTGTTAGAATCTTGCCTAGCAAGCAGGTAGAGAGTAAAGATAGGGAAGGGGAGGAGATTCTGTGGAGAAAAGACAGAGCTCAGTCTAAAGGTATCCAGCAACTCACTAAGATGAGGTGCAGTCACTGTGAGCTGCGTGCAGTCCAGCCAAGGAAGGAAAGAGCAGAATCACTCCTGGGCAAAGGGCACGAGAGGGAGCTGAAGTCAGAGCAGTGGATAAAACTCTGCCTCTGATCTCCTCCTGGTAGTACCTTTCTTTTTTGGGGGAGGGGGTGTAGTGGTGGAATTGGGTTGTCACTTTCCTTACCTTTCAAAGAGCATCCTTTTTTTAAAAGGAGATATATATTTTATCTTCCTAAGTATTTCTCTGATCAACTGGTATAGCTTTTTTTAATCTGCTGTACTTTACAAAATAAAATAGAGAAAAGAAATTGCTCACTACTAAAAATGAGAAGTCCAACAAAATCATTACACTGTCCTAACACTTATATGTAACTAACCAAAGTTGTTTAGCAATGGAAATGGGAAAGGTAGAAAGATAGGCAAATAAGCACAGAAAGCTTAATTTCATCAAAACCAGAAACTGGAAAGCCAAGTGCATCCCTGGAGGAGTCAGCATTACAGAATCTGTTCTAAGCTGCAGCTAACTCCAGGCAAGGCTCTGAATCTAGGGCAGAAACACTAAAGGTCTCTAAGCCTCGGCATCAAGATGTATCTCTATCAGGCTGCTGTGACATCACAGGGCAATGGATATGAAAGGTCTAAACTTGGGGCTTACCATCACCATCCTTCCTGACCACTCTGCGGAGTGTCACAGAGAATGGCAACAGGCTCTCCCTGAGCTGTACAAGAAGCCACCCAGGCTCAACCAAGTAACGTGTGCTGCACTAGCTGCTAGCACTAGCTCAATTTCCCATATGGAACATTTCCTTCAAGGCTCACAAGTATGTACTGTCCTGACCTGGGTACCTTCTCATCTTAAATCCATCTTCCCAAGGACAGCACTCTAACAAAGATCCAATCTGTCACAAACTTATTTCCAGCTTCTTACTTTTTCTAAACTCACTCCTGTCCTCTTGACCAAAGCTTGCAACCGGGCAATAGTTTCATTCTCCTTGAGGAGCTCATAGGAATGCAAAGGGGAGCCTGCAATATTTCCATTCCTCTTGTCAGACACAAGCTCAGAGACTCGGATCCTCTTCAGCTTTGAGGCGCTTTCGCTGCAATGGAGATTTCCTTCAGGGGGAATCCCAAAAGCCATGAGGATCTCAGAGACCTCCTGGACAAACTCCAGTTTGTTGGGAAATTGAGGCAAGTCCTCTGGCAACTCAATGAAGTGGTTGTCAACATCCACAAAGCAGAGGTTAGCCTGGAAATCAAAGCAGGAAGGGGCATGAGAGAAGTTTTAGAAAGGACAATGGATACATCTAAATGATATACATTAGATGTGGTGCAATGAAGATGGAGCAAGGCAAAACACCCATACTCACAAAATTAATTAATTTAAAAAAACCTGACACAGGTTTTTTTTACAACTTTAAGACTAAGTAACATACCTAAAATCACTACTTGATAGATCTGGGATTTGAACTCAGTCATATACTTACTAACTATTGATCTTCAGAGGTCGTATACAATTCTTCTTCAACTTAGTACTTTAAAAGCTCTTGTTCCTGTTCATTTTCTTACACTATTAATTAAAAGAGCTGTTCATGTGCTTATTAACCTGTCCTCACAAGACAAGTAACATTGCCTTCACTCTAACAGATTACTAAGGGGCTCAGGGTGTGTGTGTCTCATTTATACAAAAGAAATACATGCTACAAAGTTGTTTTGAGAATTATAATGTCAAAGTTTTTTATAGTACATTCACATGTGTGTGAGTGAGTGTGTATGCACAAGCAAAGTTAGAAAACAATATTTGGGAGTAGGCTCTTTCCTTCTATCACGTGGGTTCTGGGAATTTAACTCGGGTTGTCAGACTGAGCCACTTCAATACTCCCCCCATTTAACCTTTTTTTTTTTTTTTTTTTTTCGAGACAAGATTTCTCTGTAGCTTTGGAGCCTGTCCTGGCACTAGCTCTTGTAGACCAGGCTGGCCTCGAACTCACAGAGATCCTCCTGCCTCTGCCTCCCGAGTGCTGAGATTAAAGGCGTGTGCCACCACTGCCCGGCTCCCATTTAACTTTTTAATCTACCTGAAATAGGTTACCTTATGGCAAAAGGGAAGGGTCCTTCTTTAGCAAGGCACTGATACTGTATGCCCAAATGCTGACCCAGTGATCTACAAATGTATCCTTAGCTCAATAACCTTTATGTTCTGGAAGAAGCAGCCAGGGGATAACATGATCAGCTGACTAACACAGCCATCTCATGAACTTAAATCTATTACAACTACGTTTTTGAACACTCCCTGTATCATCATTTATACTGAGTTCATAAGTTGCCCTATTAACTTGTATCTATAAAAAGGCTGGAGAGGTGGCTCAGCGGTTAGGAGCAATGCCTGCTCTTCCAGAGGTCCTGAGTTCAATTCCCAGCAACCACATGGTGGCTCA